CGCCTCTAAACCCTGGGAGCCTCCCTGCAGCTCTAACCTTCCCTTTCCTGGGTCTCCAACTCCCAACCCAAACTCCTCCCACCAGCATTTCCAGCTGCTCTGGCTTCCTTTCCCCCTGGAGAACAAGCTCCCTGCCCTCTTCCCTCCCCCTGCAACACCTTCCTTGTTCTGCTAGAATTCTCTGCATGAGAAGGTGTGGAAGGTGGCAGCGGGGCCCTCCCCACCCTCTCACCCTCCGACCTTCACTTGGGCACCCAGGCCAGCCACTGAGTGGCTCTCTCCGACCTCCACGATGCAATGCATCAGCTACTTCTCCTTACGTCCTCATCCCAAGGTCCTTGCCCTGCTGATATGTGGGACGCATGCCTTTAAAGGTCCCATGTGCTTTCCAGGGCTGCATGCTTTGCCTCTGCCACCGGGTGGGAATGCTGGGCTCCCCCACTTTTCTCCATAGCCGCTTTCTCCTGCACAGCTCTGTCCTCCCCCTGGCTGTCAGCAAAATGCAGAAGCCAAACAATCACAAGCCTATCTCCCCAGTCAATATGTCCTCCCTGGGCTCCAGGCTTACAACCCCACTATCCCCAAGACAGACAGTTCTGAAGATCCCATGGACCTGAGCACTCTGTGTGGGGATAACAGAGTAAGTGACTGAACATTGCAAAAGGGGTTCTAGTCTTGGCTGGTTGGCTGTGAGGCTTTGATAGATGATAATTTCTGAGAGCCTCAATCCTCTCATCTGTGAAATGGAACACAATGAGAGCCTGATTCATAAGGAAATAGGGTGAATGCATCAGTGCCCTTAAAGTCTTGACAGGGAGCCCGGAAGATGGCACAAGGTCTCAAGAACTGAGTCAGGGTGGTCCACAGAAAGCATTTGGTATCGTCACATCCCAGCATGACCTTGGCTTCCTGGGCCTCTCTGTGTCACTCCGAGAAGACTGCTCATCTCCAGAATCTCCTTCTACATATCTGTACCACCCGTCCATCACTGGACATGATACCCAGCAGCCACAGCTTAGAGGAGGAGAGATGTCACTGGTCCTGGTTGTGGGAGATTCAGTCCTCGCTGGCTGGCTCCAAGACAAAAACGGCCTGGTGGAAGGGCATGGTGGAGAACAGCCCTTTACCTGATGGCAGCCAGGGAGCAGAGAGAGGAGAGAAGCCCAAGGGGGAGACACACCCTTCCCTGTCACCCTCCAGACACACCAGGCCCCACTCCTAACAGCATGTTCAGCCATGACCTCACAGCACCCCATGACCCAGTCACCTTCCAAAAGCCCTGGCTCCAAACGCCTGAGACTTCGGGGGAACATTCTAGCTCTAAACTGTAGCAGCAAATAGATCCTCGATGTTCCCATTTCCCTACGCTGTCCCCAAGCCATCAGCAGGTTCTAGCTCTTTTGCTTCTAACCCCTCTATTAAGGGTTCACTTCCTTCCACCTTGGTTTCATCCAGTAAGTGCTTTGGGATACACTGAGTGTTTGAACGTGTTCTAAGGTTCACGTTCACCACAAGTGGTAATGTTATAAGGTAATGCTGTGATGGGGCTGAGGTCATCATGAATGGCATAAACACCTTTATGAAAGAGACCCAGGTGGCCCTGTGGCTCTTTCTCCAGCACAAAAGCACAGCAAGAAGATGCTCTTTTAAGACGTGTACGTACCAGTAAATGGGCCCTCATTGGACACCAAGTCTGCTGCTGCCTTGCTCTTGGAATTCCCAGCTTGCAGGGCTATGCAGCATACAGCTCTGCCGTTGATGAGCCCCTAGTCTGCGGCGTTCTGCCACCGCAGCCCAAGTCCATTACGCGTCTCTTCCCCGTCAGGGCCGAGCCTTTACTGGTCTCCCTGCCTCTGGCCCTGCCCCGAACCAATCCATTCTTCACACTGCAGTAAGAGAGATAGTCCAAGATGCATATCGAATCATGTGATTTCCCTGAGGGCCTCGCATTGCCCTCGGGCTGAAGTCCAAGAATCTAATTGGATTGCAAAGCTATTTAGGCTGTAAACTTGGCTTTCCTCTCCAGAGTCAACTCCAGCCTCACATTACTTTCAGTTTCCAGAAATGCTTTTTTTAGCCTTGATGCATTCTTCTTGTTCTCCTCACCTCTCCAACCATCTGTCTTCCCTGGGTCCTGCATGGCCTGCCTTCAGGAAGTTTATCCGACTGCTCCCTCGAATCATCTAGGCCTTTGCCCCCGGTATAGCATCTTAGAACCATGAGGACTTTGCAAAGTTACAACAGGCGCGTAGTTTATTTCTTCCCTCCTTTCCTCCTGAAAGCCCATCAAGAAAGCGTTCAGGTACGGTGGCACAGGCCTGTAATCTGTGCCACCGTACCTGGCACAGATTGGGAGGCAGAGGCAGGGATGCTCACTGGGAGTTCAAGGCCAGCTCGGACTACAAAGTGAGTTCAAAGCCAGCCTGAACTGCACAGTGAAACCCTGTCTCAAAAAGAAAACCAATGAGCCAGGGAGATGGCTCAGTGGAATAAGTGCTTCCCTGGCAAGTGCAAGGGTCTGAGTTCAATCCCCAGTTCTGCCCCTCCCCCCCAAAAAAAGAAAAAAGAAAACCAAGAATGATTAAATGTGTAAGTAAGCCACAAATAAACAGCTACGGCTTATCCTAAGTGGCCTGTGGTGCTGTTAGCAACTCTTATGGTAATGGGCTGATGTTTTCCAAGTTTCTCCCTAACACAGTGCAGTGAACACATGGAAAATGGGGAGCACCGAGTTAAAGTCCTGTCTTTGCCATTAAAGTTAATGACTGTAGCTTTGTAGTTCTTCATTGCCTTATTTGCCATTCCAGAATCAGGCAGCACTGTAGATCAAATATAGCTGAGAATGCCCAGCCCAGCCATGTGGGTAGGTTACATTTATAGCCAAGAAAAGAAAGTGACATATAGAAAAACAGAAAAGAGGTACAGAGATGGCCCAGTTGGTTGTAGCTCTTGTCTGTCTTATTTGAACATGGTTAGAACCGCCGGCCCCCTTGCAATTTGCTGGGACTCAGCTCTTGTTGCCAAAGGAGATCACAGGCCATCTCTAACCTCAAGTTAGCTTGCACTTCATTATCAATGGAGAAACCTTTGGTCCAAAATAAATGTGTATGGAAGCCATTGCAGGCCAACCTTCATTCAAATGCCAGTACAATTCCAACTCTTCTTTTGAGTTCATGGTTTGCCCTCTTTCTGCTACCAGCTCTTTGCTCCCTTGTCCCCTCCTCCCTTTGTCTCAGTTCTGCTGGGACACCCTAAATTCTATGTCAACTTCTCTCTCATGGATCTCAAAGTGCCCTTGCTCAACAGCTTGCTGATCTTTAAAGGAGCTCAAAGTAGCCTGGAACTGGTCAGCAGGGCACATAGTTTGAGCTGGCTGAGTGTTGGTTCATCTTGTCAGCAGGGCCTATAGTTCCCCCTTTCCCATTGCAAAGAAAACTGTACTAGAATTCCTACAATGGTCTATCACTTTCCAATCGTTCACACACTACATTGTTATTACTCAGAGATACTCCATGGAAATCTCCCCTTCTCTCAGTTAGGTTTCCCTCTAAGAAGTAACAAACCCTTTGAAGATAGCTAAGTGTTTGGAGATTCCTGCTAAAAAACCACCACTTAATAGAAAGAATAATCATTTAAGTACTTAAGCATTTAATATGTGTCAGGGGGCTGGAGAGATGGCTCAGTGGTCTAAAGCACCTACTTGAAACAAGCTTGGCAAAGCACAGGGACCGCGGTTCAATCCCCCAGCACCACATGCCAGCCAGCCCGCCCCCTGGTGGGCTGGAGCTGGCCACACACACACACAATAAATAAATGTAATAAATAAAATAAATAAATAAATATTAAAAAAATATATGTGTCAGGTGTGTTATGTGTGTTTCTTTCATCTACTTTCAATAGCAACTATGGAGTTGCTTACTGCTTTCCTCTCTTCTATAAATTTAGGAAACTCAATTTCAGGGCAGTTAAGTAACTGGCTGCTATGGCTTGGATATGCTTTGAATGCACACCCCAGAAGTTCAGACACGGGAAGTTTGGTCTTCAGTGTAACAGTACTGAGAGGCTGTAGGTGCTTAAAATGGGATCTAGCAGAAGGTAATTAGGTCAAGGGCTCCCCCTCTCAGAAGGGGCTGGTGTGGTCCTCACTAGAGCGGGTTGCTATAAAATGAGGCCACTGCACATACCTGAGCTCTTTTGCCACAGTCATTTCCCTATCTGCTTCTCTACCATGCTGTGATGAAGCCAGGAAGCCCTCACCAGAACCAGAACTTTGTCACATGAATGTTCTAGCCATTGTGAGCCAAATGAATCTGTTTTATTTTATACAGTACTCCACCTAAAATATTTTGTTATATGGGACTGAGACAGTTGTCCAAGAAGCAGGTAAGCTGTGAATCCAAATCCAGTTCAAAATATATATCCCAAGCATTATATGGTAGAAAGAGTTTAATTCATTTACTCTTCAATTTTTCCTTTCTAGTCAATCAGAAATCACTTTCTTCTTCAGTCTTAATCCTGTGTCAGCCCCACAGTGTGTGTGTCCATTATAGAAACATCTACTTGGACTGTAGGCTGAGCAGGTTTTGTACCAAGAAACTGGAGACTTAAGAGTGACATAACCAGTTTACTGGGTCTCTATAACCACTCATCACTCAGCCATTTTTTGAAATAGGAGAACAGTGGCTAAGAAGAAGGTGAGGCCAACAGAGGGTGGGGAGTGGAAGCAGGAGGGTTGTGGGCCTGGTCCCAGCCTGGGTGGTGGCCAGGAACTCACTATTGGAAGTCCTTCTGCAACTAACCACCCAGGATACATTGGAAATTCAGAAAGTCAGAATCCATGTAAGTCAGGATAACCCCAAGCTTCCATTTGTTGAGGACTGGGGCATGCTTTGTATTTTTTTCACCTCTTTCTGAAGCATCTCATTTGCACTTTTCCACTAAGGCCATTAAGATGAAATCTAAAGGGGGCTGGTGAGATGGCTCAGTGGTCTAAAGCACCTACTTAG